TTTTGCTGCCTGAACTTTAAGGTTTTTTTTGTTTTGTTGTTGTTGTTGTTGTTGGAACACAAGGACCAAGGTTTAGAGTTTTAGCTCCTGCTTTCTTGTGCATAGGTCATCAAATACAATGATATTTGCAGAAACTATGCCACTCATAGCCAGAAGGGCAGCTTGGAAGCCAAGGCCACACCTGAAGGCTATCTACCAACAGCATCTCTAGCCACTGAGAATATATACTTTTTTCTTGAAAGGAACACGGACCATGCAAATATTCTTCTGTAAATGAGGTTTTCTCCTCTCTATTAATCTATTTAGCATATGTATTCATCTATGTTACAAGATTCCCTACAATCATCCTAGCATCTATCCCATTCATAGAGGAAGAAACAGGCTCAGAGAAGTTAATTGGCTAAGTGGCAGAGACAGAATGCAACATCCTTTCACTTCTCCATGGAAACGTTCCCATCCAGAGCAACCACATGGAGGATCATCTGCCCTTTGGGGAGGTAAGGTGATTTTCCCAAGCTTTGTTTACAAGGCATTCCCCTTAGAGAAACAAAACCTTGCCTGCTTTGTGTCACCTGTGGCTCTTATGGCCATGGAAGGCAGATTTATAATGGATTGTCTCCCACTCATACCACTTGGTCAGTCCTAGGCATATCCAAACCTCCAGGCTTAAATCTAACTGTGCCCCAAACACATACCATCACCAAGTCATTTTGAAGTCAAGGTCACCTTTCCATTGTCTGTGGAAGTCAGGGATTAGGATGTTATTTTGGCCAATTGTATCAAACCCACACCATCTCACCCAGCAAGAAGGCTAATGCTGGGCATGGCACTCCCCTGTAATCCAGGCTCCCTGGGAGGCTGAGGCAGGGGCATCACAAGTTCAAGGCTAAACTGGGCAATTTAAGTAAGACCTTGTCCCAAAATTTAGAAGAATTAAAGCCAGGGAGGGTCTGCAAATGTCCCTCATAGTTAGAGATTTTATCTAGGAAGGGCTACAACTTTGGTTGAGGCCCCAATGTGGTGGGGGATGGGTAAAAGGCTACTATAAACAAATAGAGAGTCACCAGTGGCTGCAAAGATATGGAGACTCTGGAAGCCTGCTTCACCAATAGGTGGGAATATGAAATGTTGCAGACACTAGATAAAACAGGCTGGGGATCCTCACAAATTAAAAATAGAAATCCCATATGAAAAGGATGCCTTGACCCATGCCTGTAATCCCAGTAGCTCATGAGATATAAGCCAGCCTCAGCAATTTAGTGAGGCTCTCAGCAACTTAGTGAGACCCTCTCTCTAAATGAAATACAGAGAAAGGACCAGTGATTAAGTGTCCCTGAGTTCAATTCTGCCACCCTACTGCCCCTGGGTGGTGAGGGGAAGAACTTCCATTAGATCCAGTAATTTGCCTCTGAAATTAACAGCCAAAAGATACTACAAGAATGGAAAGCAGGTTCTCAAAGAGATATGTGAACATCCATGTTCACAGCAGCACTGTTCACCATCACTGAAAGGAGAAAAGCAACCCACGATGGAGAAGTCACTGAGCAGAGGGCCATATAGACATACCATTGAATATTATTCAGTTTTATAAAGGATGGACGTTCTGACACACGCCACAGTATGAAAGAACCTAGGACATGGTGCTGAGTGAAATAACCTGTCAGAAAAAGACAAATACTTTGTATCTGAGTGTCCCTAAAGTAACCAAATTCATACAGTCAGGAGGTAGAATGTGGTGACCTGACTAGGGGAAATGGGAAAGGAGAATTAGCATTGACTGGGGATGATGTGTCAGTTTAGTAAGTTCAAAAGAGTTCTGTCAATGGATGGTGACAAGGGCTGCACAGCAGTGTGAATGTACTTAATGTCACTGCTCTACTCACTTAAAAATGGCCAAGATGGCCAGGTGTAGGAGCACATGCTTTAACACCCAGTGACTGGAGAGACAGAGGCAGAGGCGGGAGGACAGCAAGTTCCAGGTCAGCCTGGGCAATTTAGTGAGACCATGTCTCAAAATAAAGAATGCAAAAGGTGGAGGATGTTTGTAAGTGATAAGTATTGGTTCACTCTCCCATGAGGAAAAACACACAAACAAAACTGTAAGATGGGTAATTTTATTGCAATGATATTTTTATCTCAATATTATATATTAAAAAGAATATAAGAGTAAAGAGGGGGAGCTCCAAGAACAATTATGTAAGCAAAGGTCTCTGGCTTTCCTCAACTCTGAGTCCCAAAATTCTTAGAAAAAATTATTGTTTTGCTTTGATCATAAACTTTCAGATGACTGTCAGGTGAAATTAACCCATTCTCAAACAGATCCCCTTCCACTGAGTAGCCAGCCTTCTCCTCCTGTGCCATCTCTTCATGTTCCAGCATAGGTTTGCTCCCACCCTTCACAAGGAGAGTGCACATGGGTGAAAAGCAGCCCTAGTCATTCTGCTGTCATTCCCCTCCCACTACAGACTGGGTGCCTGCAAATTGCTATGTGAACTAATGGAGAGAAGGGACACAGATGAGATGAGAAATGCATGTTCCTGACAGAAGAGTTGGCTTTCACTCACACATGCACATGGAGACTCAAAATTGTGCCATTTTCCTTGCTGAAGTTTGGTTTTTCTTTCTTTTTTAAAGTTGTCTATGGACCTTTATTTTATTTATTTATATAAATACAAATAAATAAAATAAAGTACTGCTGAGACTCAGACTAAGTGCTTCACACATGCTAGGCAAGCGCTCTGCCCCTGAGTCACAACCCCAACCTGAAGTTTGGTTTTTCTAATCAGGAACAGCGGGGTACACCTTTAATCACAGAAACGTGGGAGGCCCAAGCAGGGGAAGCAAATCCAGGTTGGAAGTAGTTTGAAACAGGTTCTGGATGAAAGCAGGGCTCTCTGCATGCTGTCTGCCCTGGCTTTCCTTATTGACATTTAGTTCATATCATTCTACCACCAGTTTCCCTAGGCCCTCTTAATGGTTCTCTTGCCTTTGCTCCTTTCCAGCTGGGGCTAAGATTAAATGGATGACTCCCCTCAATAAACTAACACCCATGGAAACACTTGGATGTGCTGAGGAGAAGGACAAGAAAGGAACTGGCTGATTCTTCCTTAATGAAGCCACAAAATAAGGACCAGGGCTCCTTGCTGCCCTCCACTGGAATAGAAATGCAGTGCTATGTTGAAATAAATCCCAGTTCAGGCTCACTCCTCATTTAAGCTAAAGTACCTTAAAATGATTCTAATCCTCAAAACAGCATTAGTTTCATTCATAAATGCTGAAGGTTTTCAGTTGCCCTGCTTAAAAAGAAATATAAGTGAAGATGTCCTTAGAATTCCTTAGAAACAAAGGAAAAGATTGGAGAAGATATTTTGTTTTTGAAGGAGGGTAGCCAGAAGGAGGACCCATTTTTATTTTGATCATGGGATGTCCTTTGTAAGCCCTTCACCAAATGTGAATGCACTATGCCTGCATGGTACTAGATTGGAAATCTCCAATGATAAGATATCAGGAAATAGAGGATAGCCCAGGAGAGGGATGCTCATCTCAGTGCACACTCAATTTCAAAGAATTCATTTCTGCCAAGATAAAGATCCAATTCAATGAAAGGAACTCACTGAACATACTTAAATCATATGCCATGTTTATTAGTTAATAACCCAAATCAGTTTTCCAAAAAAGAGTAATATTTCATTTTTACTGTTTTTACATCCTTTAAAACACTGCAAAATTAACTTCATATGATGAAGTGCCCAATGTTTCTCGATTTTGAAAACAATAGGAAAAAATATGTCATTCCTGTCAGAAAACTTTTTTCCTAGGATTCCTTGTTTTTTCTGATTTCCTTTAAAATAGCTATAATTAAGGGCTGTTTCAAAGATTAATTCTTTCTCTTTTCACAAGGTGAGCTTGAAAAATACAAATATCCTAAAAACAATACCAAACAGAATGAATGTATGAAACACATATTGGCCTTTTCCCAACAAAGACAAGAGAATTCTAGCCTCTACAAATGGTTAAATGGGGGGAAAATGCTATGATAATTATATCTATTAGTAAATAAAACAATTTTGGAATCCAAAGAATTCTCTTGCCAACATTGAAAAACAGAGCTAACTGAATGGAGCCAATGGATTCCCAACACTCAACCGCTCTGATCACACTTGGGGGTGTGGGATGATGCAAAGTCACAACACTTCACTGTCCTTCTCTCTGTTTATCTTTACTTGTTTGAACCACTTTGAGGGTGCAACTCTAGTAAGACCATAGTAGTAAATGTGGTGAACTTTGCTACTGGTTTACTTGGGTTTTATCTCTTTTTTTTCCCTCCTGGTAGAGATGGAACCCAGAGGCACTCTCCACTAGTGTACATTCTAGCCCTTTTTATTTTGTACTTTTGGTTTCTTGCTAAGTTGCTGAAGCTGGCCTCACTTGCAATCCTCCTGCCTCAACCAAGCTATGATTACAGATATGCCACAACACACCCTGCACCATTATTAATAAAACAATTTAGATTAACTTATGTGTTGTTTCTTTTTCAGCAAACAGCAGGGTATGGTGGAAAAAATGATTTCTGAATAGGCTTGACTGAAATCTAGCTCTGTAACTTAGACCAATCTCTGGGACTCTAATTCCTCCTTTACAGCAGGTGCTATACAGACTATTCAACTGGGGTCTGGTGAAAAAAAAATGAGAAAGGGAAAATGGAATTGTTTTATACCTTAGAATTATAAAGTTT